TCCCTTTAAGTAATCCGACCTACAGTGCATCGGACCTACCACAGCTGTTAAAACCACGTGCTTGTAGGTCGGATGGGCAGTAGAGGGGATGGGCGTAGGTCCAAAAATACACCATCGTTCAAATGAGAATCCACCCGATTCCTTCCTCAATATTACAAAGACGAGTATTATTGAATTTACAAAATAACGCGGCATTTGAACTTATTCCGCATGCTCAGCTCCGTTCCAGACTGAATCTCTCGACTCTCGAAACGTTCTGCAACGGAATTTGTAAAAATAATTCTACGGACTAAGTATGCATCTGGAACCTTCTGGAAACACCGCAAGCCGAAAATATCTGACGAAACAAAACAAATATTCCACACATTGACAAAAATTATTAAATAACTTTTGATTATGACTGAAAATAGTTGATAAATGGTTGGATTGTAACTGTAATTAGGTTTTTAAGAGTTTTATTTACAGTAATTGTGAAGTTGTCTTGTGATATTTTTTATCTAAAAATTATTTTTAGATATTGAGAAGTGTTTAAAATGTCGACTGAGGTTCCAGACCTCAATATTAATTTCCCGGCAGAGGAGGAAAAAATCGCCCAGTTGTGGAAAGATTTAGGTAAATTCTCGTAAGATCTTGACTCTTGAGGTAATTTCCTAAAATACGATTTTTACCCCCCCCCCCCCCCTCCCTATCAATTTGTACATGGATCTCGTATGTTTCACAATAATAGAACGGGTCCTGTGTCTGCAGCGCCGCGCCCATAGCCTGACCTCGCCGCGCCGCTCGGCCCCATAGTTTGTCCTAGCCACGGCGCTTGGCCCCGAGCCTGTCATTGTCGCAGCAGTATCTTAGACCATTGAAGCTGTCACAAATAGTATCTGACCATAAAAGCTGCCACTAATAGTCCGAAAAATGCCTCAAAATGCATTTTGGTTAATTAAACATGCCACGAATGGTATTTTGGTCCATAAATAGAATCTTTAGGCCAGTAGTATATCTCGAATAGTTTTATAATCCAGAAACCTGCCATAAATAGTATTAAGTCTTTAAATCTTGCCATCTTCCCCACCCCCCTCTTATCAATTTTATACATGACGAAATTAGTAAATTAGTATTTATTTATGATTATTTAGGGTTTGGTTAGGTTAAGTCACTTTCTGGGCCGAGCGCTGCGGCCACGGGTTAGGTTAGTTAAGACACTTTCTGGGCCGAGCGCTGCGGCCACATGGTCAATTATATCCATGTCTAACATATAAGATCCATGTAANCCCCCCCCCCCCCCACCATATCCAACTTATACAGGAAAAATGTACATTTAAGGTTAAATGCCTGGCCCCTTAGCGGTCTAGCCTTGGCGCTCGACCCAGAAATCGTCTCAATCTAATCTAACCCAGACTTAATACAACAAATTCACATACTTTTTTTTGATAAAGGTGCTTGGGTGAGTGGGTCCTAAAATCTTTCTCTAAGATGCAACCGTGTACGCTATGTGTAGTGTTTAAGCTCTTATATTGTAAATATGTCTTATTTTTTTAATTTTTCAGATGCGTTTGCAACCTCCTTAAAGCAGTCTAAGGGACGACCTAAATATTCATTTTATGATGGTCCCCCATTTGCTACCGGACTACCCCATTACGGGCACATCTTAGCTGGAACTATTAAGGTAAATATTTTATCTTGGAAATTTCATTAAACTTAACCTCAATATCTTTGTTTTTGAATATTGATCAAAGCTGGCTCGAAAACTATACCACCCTCCATGTTGCTCCATAGTACACCAAAATTTAAATTATCAAGTTTAATATTCTTTCACGACGAAAGGTTATAACGATTGAATTGGGAATATATTTTGTTAATTACCCTAAAATTGGGCCTTTTTATAAAAAACGTTTACCCACTTTTTCCTTGCCACAAATTCTACCTCAGTCCTTCAAATTAGACACAAATATTATCCTAGTCTATAAAACTCCATAAATATACCTCAGATAGTAACCTGGGCCCCTTCATCAAACATTATCAGTCCCCATTAAACCTGCCAATAATGGAATCCTAAGTTATTAAAAATTGGCAGTATCTTAGACCATTAAAGCTGTCACAAATAGTATCTTCGACCATAAAAGCTGCCACAAATAGTCCAAAAAATGCCTCAAACTGCATCTTGGTCAATTAAACATGCCACAAATGGTATTTTGGTCCATAAATAGAATCTTTAGGCCATAAGCATATCTCGAATAGTTTTATAATCCAGAAAACCTGCCATAAATAGTATTAATATTAAGTCTTTAAATCTTGCCATCTTCCACACTTTCGCTAGCACCCCTGTACTGTGAAATATATTTTGATTAACTTGTAGGATATAGTTACAAGATATTGTTTGCTTGTAGGATATAGTTACAAGGTATTGTTTACTTGTAGAATATAGTTACAAGCTATTGTTTGCTTGTAGGATATACTTACAAGATATTGTTTACTTCTAGGATATAGTTACAAGATCTTGTTTACTTGTAGGATATAGTTACAAGAATAGGTTCCGTAAAATGGAGGCATGGCTCAAATTTGGTCGGTTGCTGGGATCTAATCGGGTTTTAATGTTTTCAAGTCGGGCAAGCGTAATAGGAACACAAATTTATATAGATCCAGGCTGAAAAACCTAAGTACACAGTGAATTGAAACCTCACCCTGTATGCGGGAGCCCAAAGCAATCCATGAACATGATGATTTGATAACGTATAGGGGAGAGTTACAAGATATTGTTTACTTGTAGGATATAGTTACAAGATATTGTTAACTTGTAGGATATAGTGAAGAGATATTGTTTACTTGAAGGATATAGTTACAAGATATTGTTTACTTGTAGGATATAGTTAAGAGATATTGTTTACTTGTAGGATATAGTTACAATGTATTGTTTACTTGTAGGATATAGTTACAAGGTATTGTTGACTTGTAGGATATAGTTACAAGATATTGTTTACTTGTAGGATATAGTTACGAGGTATGCGCATGGTCGAGGTTTCCACGTGGAACGAAGGTTCGGATGGGATACTCATGGTCTACCTGTAGAATACGAGATAGATAAGAAACTTGGGATCAAGGTGATGATTTCTACAAAATCTATAAAATGAAAGAGATTTATTTCTCCCTTGTTTTATTTACTTTTAAATTTTTGGAAATAAATGATATGGAAGGAATAAGGTTAAAATCCTCCATGCTGAAGTCAGATCATATTCTTCATTTCTTGGTAATATCCATCCCTGCAAAGAATTATTTCTTGTAATTTCTTGGAAAAATTTATATATCCATATAAAATTTAAAGTTTGAGAAAAATGTCTTGTTATTAAACTGTCATATTTTGAAAGAATAAGTTGTCTTGATTATTATATACTGAAGACTGTTTTTGTTTTAGTTTCCACAATTTGAATGAAATAAATATATTGTCTGTACTTGTATTTTTAATCCTAATACAGTACATTACACTAATTATTTTTATTGTACAATTTACATGTTATGTACAGGGTCCTGAGGATGTTGCCAAAATGGGAATTGCCGCGTACAACGCTGAGTGCAGAAAAATAGTTTCAAGGTAACATCGGTTTTCATATCATTGTCATCAGTTTTGTTGGTCAGTTGTTAATTGGTTGTACATTTGTACGATTGGTTGGTTGGTAGGACAGTTGACTGGATGGACGGTTGGTTGGCTGGTTGGACTGGATGGTTATTGGTTATTGTGGTGGGTAGGGTTGGGAGATGGATTGATTTTTATATTTGATATCTACAGGGTGTCCCAAAAAACATGGGAATTCAGTGACGAATTCGATATCGTCTTTGTTATGAATTAGCATTGTAATACCTAATTTCAAAAGACATAATATTATTATGTTTGCTAGAGTTTATTTTATGAAAAGGGTAAAAGACTGCAAAGATGTGTCTATAATGTCTCCGCAAGATGAACAGTGAAGACGGAAAAGGTTACTCTGTTTGTATACTGCAATTTTCTTGTTTTACTAAGTACAACCGTATGCAGTCAAAACATAAAAAAAAAACAAAATGTGAACATAGCAGACGAAACTCTTACAGATTACAGCTTTCTTAGTAGGTATCACTACACTAAATCAAAGAATTATTTAAAAAGACGATATCGAATTCGTCACTGAATTCCCATGTTTATTGGGACACCTTGTAGGTATGCCTCAGAGTGTGAAACTGTGGTGGGTCGGGTTGGGGGAGATGGATTGATTTTTATATTTGATATCTAGGTATGCCTCAGAGTGGGAAACTGTGGTGGGTCGGGTTTGGAGATGGATTGATGTTTATATTTAATATCTAGGTATGCCTCCGAGTGGGAAACTGTGGTTGGTCGGGTTGGGAGATGGATTGATGTTTATATTTGATATCTAGGTATGCCTCCGAGTGGGAAACTGTGGTTGGTCGGGTTGGGAGATGGATTGATTTCAAGAATGATTATAAATCCATGTATCCCTGGTTCATGGAGTCCGTGTGGTGGGTCTTCAAGCAGATCTACGACAAGGGACTTATCTACCAAGGTTTCAGGTAATTCTTTAAAAATCCTTGAATAAATTCCAGTGGGGTTGGATAGAAAGAAAAATTTCAAAAGCCTATTTTTTTATATTACCCACAAATTTATTTTTTCTCCCAATTCAGCGCAAACATCTGAACAAAAATCAATTTTAAAGAGTATTGTGGGTGTGTAGGGGTGGGGGTCGATTTTTCAGCATAACACCCTGAAAAAAATCATTTCAGACAAATTTTCCAGAAATTTTGTGCTTCGAAACAAATTGGGGGAAAATATGAAATCTTCTTGATTCATATCTGTTAAAAATAGTTTATTTTCAAGATTTTAAAATATTTATTTAATATTTTGGTCTGATTTGTTGTTTATCGTAGAGTTATGCCCTACTCTACCGGGTGTTCTACTCCGCTATCTAATTTCGAGGTTGCTCAAAACTACAAGGTAGTTAAAAACTGCATTTTCTGTGTGAAGTTTTTTGTTATTGATGACTAAGCGATTTTCGGGGCAAAATATTAACCAAAACATGCTAAAAACCCTTTGCTCTTAAAATAATGAAAGATTATTCAACACTTCCTAATTCTTTTCTTTTTATTTTACAAAATTAGCCGAATATGATTGAAAGATGTACGAACAAGAAGAAAATGAAGAACAAGAAATATAGAAATCTCAAAATATTTCTATCTGATATCATATAAAAAAATATTTAAAAATAATCCTATAAATATTTAAAAATATTTTAAAATTTAATTAGAATCCTAATCATTGAATGGATTATGATAAAAGTAAGCAAAAAAAAAATAAGAAAAAAACAATTTTGAATATTTTTTACTTGTTCAATAATTCTCTAATCTTGGAAGAAATGTTTATGTTCTGGATCCGGATCCTTTTTTTATGGTGGATCCCATCCCTGAGCACTCCCGTGTATTATAAATTATGTAGGATGTGGTTGACCCAGCTGTGATGGTAAGTTTCCCCCTGGATGAGGATATGAATGTATCCCTGGTGGCTTGGACTACAACCCCCTGGACTTTACCGAGCAACCTGGCTCTCTGTGTACACCCAGACCTTGTATACGTTAGGGTTAAGGTACATCTTACTAAAGAAATTAACGTTCAGGGGCGGATACAGGGGGGAGTCATGGAGCAGAGGTTCACCCCTGGATAAATTACTCATCCTTTAATTATTGAAGCTATAGATGAAAAAAGATATGTTCTGGTATTTTTTTCTTCGCTTGAGATTCCTATAATTTTAAAAAGAAATTATCTTTATCCTAACTTTTGCATCGGGGGGGGGGGGGGTTGCCCAAGATGGGGCTTCTTGCAGGTCTGATCTGCCATCACATATCACTGTGACTTAAAATGACTTCACGAATATTCGACATTTTAAAAAAATAGTCCTATAATTACTGCTTTTACTGATACTATATTTTTTTCAGTGCAACGTGACTGAAAAGGTTTTCATCATAATGGAGTCTAGGTTGACCTACATGTTCAAGAAGGAAGAAGACTATGAGGTGCTGGTCAAGATGCAGGGGAAGGACTTGAAGGGTAAGGGGTACAAGCCCCTCTTCCCGTATTTTCAGCACATGAAGGAATCTGGAGCTTTTAGGAAATTCAAACTCAAAATTTAAAAAAATATTCTTTTAGGTATTGAGAACTAGCTGAAGTGCCCTTCGTTTCCCAGGGTACTCGATACTCATAGTTATCCCGCCGTTTAACCGTGCTTTGTCGTAAATTACAATTTTAGCTATTTTTCCATATTATAGTGGACCCACTTAACTTAAAATCTCTAAACCCAACTAAGCACATTTCCGTGATTCTTCCGTTCCAAGTTCCCCAATAAAAATCTAAGGGAAATCGGTCAAGGAGTTCATGAGTTATGTCGGACATACAATCAAACATTCAAAGATCACAAACAAGAGCATTCTTGAAATTTTTTGGCATTTTCATTGTTCCCGTCTTCGGACCTCCCTCCCCCCCCCCCCCCCCCCCCCTCTTAACATTTAATGTACATCTACAGAATAATTCCCTATCAGGTAAGGTCAATTGTCACGCCTAACATTATATATCTAACCATACCTAAATTAACAAGTATCTTGTTTTTTTGCTGTTCTATCACTATGATTGGGCTAAGGTTTAAAAAAATGTTATTTTGAAGTTTTAATGGTTCAGAGTGCTTTGTGACGGATATGTTACCGAGGATTCTGGTACCGGAGTCGTACACCAGGCGCCTTTCTTCGGAGAGGACGATAACAGGGTTTGCATAGCTCATGGAGTAATCCAACCTGGAGGAGAGGTTGTGTGTCCTCTGGACGGAGCAGGACGGTTTACCGAGCCTGTGACCCACTTCCTTGGAGAGTATGTCAAGGACGCTGACAAGAATATCGTTAAGCACTTGAAACAGGAGGGTAGGCTTGTCAATGCTAGCACAGTAAAACACTCCTATCCATTCTGTTGGAGATCTGAGACCCCGCTGATCTACCGCGCTATCCCTTGCTGGTTTATGAGGGTGGCACAGATGCAGGAACGGTTACTAGAGAGGAACCAGGATACCTACTGGGTTCCGGAATCTGTGCGTGAAGGAAGGTTTGCTAACTGGCTGGAGAACGCCAGAGACTGGAACCTATCCAGGAACAGGTATTGGGGAACTCCTATACCTATCTGGGTAAGTGAGGACGGGGAGGAAACTGTGTGTATTGGATCTATAGAGGAGTTACATAAGTTATCAGGGGTTAAACTAACTGACCTGCATAGAGAGTATGTTGATGAGGTGACTATTCCCTCCTCTAGACCAGGGATGCCGCCACTACGCAGGATCTCCGAGGTGTTTGATTGCTGGTTTGAGTCCGGGTCTATGCCATACGCGCAGGCGCATTATCCATTCGAGAACAAGAAGGAGTTTGAGGATAGTTTTCCTGCAGATTTTATTGCAGAAGGAATTGATCAAACTCGAGGTTGGTTCTATACCCTACTAGTAATATCCACCGCCTTGTTCAACAAGCCCCCCTTCAAGAACCTTATTGTGAACGGTCTAGTGCTGGCTAACGATGGACAGAAGATGTCTAAACGGTTAAAGAACTATCCTGATCCTATGGAGGTAATAAACAAGTATGGAGCTGATGCGCTCCGTCTGTTCCTAATCAATAGTCCTGTGGTGAAAGCCGAGAACCTGAGGTTCAGGGAGGAAGGGGTTCAGGCAATTCTCAAGGATGTATTTTTACCCTGGTACAATGCGTACAGGTTCCTTCTCCAGAATATTGAGAGATATGAGAGGGAGGAGGGAGTGGAGTTCTTCTGGAGTGAGAAAACCTACGGGGACTCTAGCAATGTGATGGACCGGTGGATCATCTCCTTCACCCAGTCCCTCCTGGACTTTGTCTCCACGGAGATGGCCGCATATAGGTTGTACACCGTTATCCCTCGGCTGGTGAAGTTCATCGACAACCTGACCAACTGGTATGTCAGGATGAATAGGAGAAGATTGAAGGGAGAAGGTGGAGCAGCGGATTGCAAGGCTGCTCTGGACAGTCTCTTCTCCGTCCTGATCACTATGGTGAGAGTAATGGCCTCCTTCACACCCTTCCTTACAGAGATGATGTATCAGCAGTTGAAGAAGAAGGTTCCATCATTCTCCGGGCCTGATTTTAAATCTGTTCATTATCTTCTCCTCCCTGCTGCCAGGAAGGATCTCATCCATGTGGACATTGAGCGCGCTGTTGCCAGGATGCAGACTGTTGTGGATCTAGGTAGGGTTCTCAGGGATAGGAAAACTATGCCGATCAAATACCCTCTTCCAGAGGTTGTGGTGATTCACAAGGACGAGGAATGCTTGTCTGATCTCCGAAGTCTGGAAAGATATATTCTAGAGGAGCTAAACGTAAGAGAACTAACCTTATCCGGAGATAAGGCCAGCTACGGAGTAACCCTGAGAGCGGAGCCGGATCATAAAACTCTAGGATTAAGACTCAAGGGAGCTTTTAAAGCTGTGATGGCAGAGATCAAAACTTTATCAGATGAAACCATCTCAGGGTTCTTGGCCGGAGCTGAACTGGTGGTTCAGGGTCACAAACTAGTCTCGGAGGATCTCCGGATCATGTATAGTTTCTCTGGTGACCAGTCTGCCGAGCTGAGCACAAAGTTCGAAGCTGATTCCTCTGGAGATATTCTTGTTCTTCTCGACACTACTCCTGACGCGAGCATGCTCGAGGAAGGTTTAGCCAGAGAGATTGTGAACAGAGTTCAGAAATTCAGAAAATCCGCGGGATTAAAAGTCAGTGACGAGGTCACAATGCACTACGCTGTATCTCCGGCCGGACATAGTTTAAACACAATCATCACCAAATATCTCAACTATATCCAGACCTCAAGTAAGACCCCGCTCCGTCCTAAGAAAGGAAACCTAACCGGAATCTCTAAATCTGAAACGTTTGACGTAAAGGATGCCAAGATAGAACTGAGTATCACGCCCGGGTTCCCTGGAGATTATTCTAACGGTGATTCTCCGTCTGGTTCCCCGGCTGTTCCCTGGGTGAATGTAGAACTGGTTGGTTGCACCCCTGCAGGATATATTGCTTCCTCGAAGGGAGGGATTCTTCTACCTTCAACAGGGGAAATTACACTCGCACAATTACAGAGCAACGTTCAGGTAAATTAGACCATTCACAAGAGTTAATATTTTGAAAGTAACGATTTTAAACGATTTGTAAGAAAAAAAGGATTAACCCTTTTTGTAAATTCCCCCCGCAACAAAAAAAAATCATTTCTTAAACACAATTTTATGTAGAAAAAATGTATGTTTAGTAATTGGAAATAAATTGTTTTTAAGATAATGTAAACCTACGAGACTCATCAAGTGTATGATTTTAATACAAATTCAGAAATATGATAATTTTGTATTGAACGATTTCAAAAATGCTTAAAATGATTTTATTTTAGGATTTGTTTGGTCTGTACAATGTGAACCTGGAGCTGTATTATAAACCTGATAAAACTGTCAAGGAAAAAACTTATAAAAACCTACATTAAAGAGTAACTTAAAGTTGAGCTCAATGAACAAGTTTTTTAGAATTTATTTTTGCTGTGGAAACTGTAGTGACTCTCCGATTAATGTACTACAGTACCCCTTCTACCTGCTTCTAACTAACAAAGATATCGTCCTTTTTATACCTTGAAAAGGTGGAATTTCCTTGTGCTTAAACCTGATGGTAGAACCGAAGTTGAAAATTCTCAATTTTCCGATAGTAAATTAGAGAAAAAGTTTAAAAGGGAACCGCTGTGAACCGGAAATACGACCATACCCTTTTTGGTGCTTGAGTCTGGTACTAACATATTGTCTTGTAAATAGGGGCATGTCTGATTCACAACAACACTTTTATACCTGTATCTGATAAATTCTGTGGAAGATATCCCAGTTGTTTCCGGCTCTAAATTGGTTTGACTCAATTTTCTCAATTGTTTTTGCAAGCCGAAATTCGCAAAAAAAAAACTTATTTTTGAAAGCATAGTCAAAAGAAAGATAAACATGGATTTATTGTTAATCTGACAAAGCCTTTAAAGCAGTTCTCCGGATTCGTTGGATCCGTAAGATTTTGGCAAGGGGTAAAATATCAACCAAAAACTCTGAACTTTGAAAAAAGAGATTATAGAATTTTTCTCATTTCTAATTGGTTCATCAAGTTTTAGGATAAAAATAAGCGAAAAAAAAACACAAAAAATTTGAAACTTATTTTTTGTTAAGAAAAATCAGTAAATCTTAACGAAATGACCTAGATCCGGATTCATTTTTTCCAGTGTAGATCTGCATCGAATTTAAATGGATCCTTAGCACTGTTATAAAGGTACCGTTGTGAATCGGACATGCCACTTTTTTGTTTTTAAATGAGGTAACTTGAGATTACGTCTGCGGTCCCTTTAAGCAACCAGGCTTTAAGCTAAACGATTTTTTTTTATTTTCCTTATCAGTATTTAACTTTTAAGAGGAAGAAAATAAAGTAGCTTCTTGAATTGTTTTATGAGTTGATTGATTGATTAGGTTGAGAACATGAAATATCTTGCTTCCAACACCATCTACGCATTCAGACCAAATACTGCAGGTAATAAGAGATGGAATTTAATGAATTTGAGCTAGGTCGCTGAACTAGCTACCATCGATTCAAATACTTGTTCGTAGTTCTTTAGTGGATTAATTTCTCAGGAATGACAATAGATTATTATTTTAGGAAGCAGTACAGGTGCTGGTTCAGGGTTTAACTGTAAGTTTATCAACATTATGAAAGGAGAAACCCCGACTTCTTTACTCCTTGAGAACCCAGTTGGAAACCCAGTTTACAACCTTGAGGTTAGCTACAAATTATACCAAAAAAAGAATCAACATTATCTGATCGTGAATGTAAACGTTTGCGTCGTTTTTCAATTCTAACAAATTTCTTCATTGTTTCTCCTGCAGAAAAATTAACTCCTCGAAATTAATAATAGAATTTCCGTAACTAAATCAATTTGTTGTGAGAAATAAATGATATTTAACAGTTATTTTTTCATGCTTTTATTGATATGCTTATAGCTATTAAAAGCCAATATTGTATTCATTTCATACCGGATTTTCCTCACAATCAATATTTTATATTTGGTTATAATGTAAAATGATTTTTTTAAAATAAACCAATTCTTTTTTTTACTTTCTTTTCAACGTTTGTTTTTATTTATCTTTTTGTCCCTAAAACTATTTTTTTCCTTTAATATAAATGTGAATGATTATTTTATCTGAATTTTTCTGTTTTCAGGAGAGTTTGCGAAGCTTAAATATTGGATTTTTATACAAGGATTCTTCCAAGAAAACCCTGGTCAAAGTTTCAGAGCTGACACGACTAGCTGGGCAAACCCTCTTTGTTTAAAGGGACAAAAAATATAGGTTACACAAATATAAAAAAAAATTGATTCTTCCTTTCCTTATTTCATAATTTCAAATTGATAAATAAAAAAATCGATTAATAATTCGCCGAAAAACTTTCCTCAATCTAAAAATTTGTGCTCCAATTTTTTCTGAACTTCCTACAGAGAGTTATATTTATGTATAGGGTTGTACAACATTAGCTGTGATCTATGCAATGTTATGTTTTGTTTCAATTAGTCCAGATTTCCACCAAATGTTAGAGCTAGTTAATAGCTTGGTTTATTCTTAGAGGGTGATAACTAGTACCAAGTAAATAGCTTAGGTATACCTTATAGTTTAAAATTGTAAAAATTTCGTTTTTTTCAGAATAAAAATGTCGACAGTACAAGCTGCTTTAACTCTTCGAGGAGACAGGAAGACTGGTCAGGATGTCAGGTTAATATTTAAACCATTCTTTAAAACCATTTAATTTTGAAGTGGATCAGGACAGGGTCATAGTCAGGAACTTGTCTAGGGGGGGGACTTAAATTTTTTTTTTCTCCACGGGGGGACTCGTCAACCATTAGGACCCAAATAAACCTGGAAGTCATAAATTTCACTGATTTAGAAGGGGGGCTGAGCCTCCTTCCCCCTCCCTTGAATACGCAATTAGATCCGGATTCTGGAACCGACCTGTGAAATCATGGATCCGCATGCAGCTCTCAAATATTTCTTCACGTTTTGCTTTTACCAAAATTAATTATAAAACTTTCGTCTGTTTTCGACCAATTGATTTACTATTCAATGATGATGAAGGTTATTAAGATGTCTCATCTCCCGTCCATGTAAAAATTACCCTAGATCCTGTAAATTTTATTCCTCCGCATTAGAAGAAGTGATATTTTTATTTATTTTATTTCCTAGAACCCAGAATGTAATGGCCGCCAGCAGTATTGCCAACATTGTTAAGTCTAGTCTTGGACCCGTCGGTCTCGACAAAATGCTGGTCGACGATGTCGGAGATGTCACAATCACCAACGACGGAGCGACTATCCTCCAGTTGCTCGAGGTTGAACACCCCGCTGCTAAGGTTCTTGTAGAGCTTGCTGCTCTCCAGGATGAAGAGGTGAATAAATCTCTAAAAAATTATTTTTTATGGCGACGAAAAATGTCTCTTTAAAAAAACATTTATATTTGTGCATGCACAGTTTTATACCGGGAAATCGGGTTCTTTATCTCTTAGCAAAGGGACTGCAGACGTAATTTTAAGTGACCCTTCATTTCTAGAATGTCATGTGCGATTCACAATGGTACCCATAAATTTGATAGTTGATCATTTTAATTTGGATGTTGTTCTATGTAAGTGACTTGCAAATGCATATTTGTGCACAGAAACAACGGAGGAAATTGTCGGATTTAGACACTTGTCAAGCTATAAGAACGACTGATCAGATCAAATTCTAAAGAGCAGCTATGTGAACCAGGGATGTTTCTCTTCAAAATAGAATTTCCCTTGAAATTACGACACAGTCCTTACAAGTTTCAGAAATCTAAATTCCACGATGATCAGTTTTTATAAAAGAAAAAACTTATATTTTTACACACATGCAAGCAAGACAATACTGAATTTTTTAGTATCTCAAATTTATGTTAAAACTAATTTGAATCTTCTAAACCCTTTAATACTCGAGACATAAAAAGAAATAATTCAACAATATGTATTTATTTTTAAATTTTATTCTGTCTAGGTTGGAGATGGTACCACTAGTGTTGTTATTATTGCTGCTGAACTATTGAAGAACGCAGATGAACTTGTAAAACAGAAGATCCATCCCACAACCATCATTGCAGGTTTGTTGTCAACTTGATTGAGCTTTTCATTTGTGAGACTTTGATTAAATGTTTGATTGTATGAATGATAGATCCGCATGAGAATATGTTCAGATTTTAATTTGATCATAACAATTTTTTCCTCTTGGATACTTTTTGCCTCGAATTTAAAGTTTTTTCTTAGTTATTGGGCCGGTTTGGTTATTTCAAGAACAAAACAGTTTGGTTGGTGGGTTGAGAGTCAGCTCCTTAATTATTAATTTTACAATTAGGATACCGTCTAGCCTGTAAGGAAGCTGTAAAATATATTCAGGAGCATCTAACATTCAAGGTGAAGAGTAGTTAATGTTTTTTTTCAATATTTTTTTTTATTTATATTTAAGATACTTCAGTGAAAAGTGGCATAGCCGATTCACAACGCTACTCTTTATCTACGTAAAAATTGAAGATTCAAATAAAATTCTCCAGCGTGATGAATAGAAAATATAATATATCGATATATTATTCATCCTTGGTCCTTGATCAGGCCAAGGTTTAGAGTCAATTTTCGTAATCGTTGACGTTATTGTTTTCATTATCGTTTTTGTTATCGTTTAAGTTTTTGTATCGTTATTATCGTTATCGTTATTATTGTTATCGATATCGTAATTATTGTTATCGTTATCGTTAATTAAGGTTGATGAGCTAGGAGAGGACTGTTTAATGAACGCTGCCAGGACCTGTATGTCAAGTAAACTGATTGGAGCAGATTCAGAATTCTTCTCCAAGATGGTCGTAGAAGCTGCCCAAGCTATCAAGGAAGGATACAAACATAACAAGATACAAATCATAAAAAAAACTGCCCGTCAGGGATACATACTGTTAAAAATTACATGAACGTCAAATTTTCCCAACTTTCATACTTCTTAAAAATTCTAAAATTCTTTTTGTTTCTCAATTGAGTCCATTTGTTTTGAAAGTAGGTAAAATTATATTAAACGGTATACCCAACCTAGACTCATTAAAAAGCTTGACATGGGAGTATATTTTTTTGAAAAATCATTCCCCTCATTTTTCCCCCAGCACATAGGTACGTTTTTTTCGCTGAATAGGGGAAAATAAATGTTTTTTTAGGGGATCTTAAAAAAATTTACATTTTTTTTAATAATTAAGTTTGTTTTTCCTCGATCAGGTTACAGATCACAAAGGAACAGTCACGTATCCAATCAAAGCTGTAAACGTACTCAAGGTAAACTATGTTGATTCAATTTGAAAATGCAAGAAAATAAGAACAAAAACTATTGTATTGTTTTCAAGGTGGCCAAAATGTACGGATTGTACGGATATTTTTTTAACACTAAATTTGTACCTTTTTTGTGCAACTCTCCTGTATGGTGTTTTTTCAATATTTTTTGAAAATTTGTAATTTTTTTTGGTACTCCTGGCCCAAAAAAAAATCCGCGAACCTTTCTTCTCTCAAAATCAAAAGTTAAGAAAAGTAAAAATGTGTAAATAAATTATTTCTATCGAAAAAAAGTTTTGGCCACCCTGTGTTTTATTTGTTTTGATGTGTGGCATATGAAAGACAAGGGACTAACTGTAGAATATTTTAGGCTCATGGTAAATCTGCTCGTGAATCCATGTTAATCCATGGATACGCTCTTAACTGTACAGTAGCTGCTCAGCAGATGCCTAGGTAATAAAGGGTCAACCCGAGGACGGGAGTGGGAGCTTGTTTTTTTAAACATAATTTTTACTGGTTTACAAAATCAATTTATTAAATTGACCTTTTTTTGATTGATTTTTAAGAATTTGAGACGTGGCTCAAACATGGTTTGTTCCACTTGAAATTGTATTCAGTGTTTTGAGATTTGAGCCAGTGCTCAATTGAAACCAGTATTAGGCAATTCAGCGACGCGGTGTTAATTCCTTAAATTCGGCCTCAAATCGATAATTTATCATCAAGGGGATTTTAATAAATTTGAGTTGTTCATTTCGCATCTGACTTTTTATGAAAAGAAAGAAAGAAAGATTCGAACGAAATAAATACTGTTCAGGACGATCATGAACGCCAAGATCGCCTGCCTGGATTTCTCCCTGCAGAAGGTGAAGATGAAGATGGGGGTTCAGCTTCTAGTCTCAGATGTTGATCAGCTAGACAAAATGAGGTGAAATCATCATGTTTTAATTTTTACATTCTTTTATTTGTTCATGTTTATTTACTTATACTCTCAACCCAAGAATGAAAATTTCTATGGTGGGTCTTTTCATGATCTTTTTATCTAACCTTTATTGTTTAGGGATCGTGAGCAGGACATCACCAAGGAAAGGATCGCTAAGATCTTGGCAACCGGAGCTAACGTGATCCTCACCACGGGAGGAATTGACGATCTTTGTCTTAAGTACTTCACAGAAGCCGGAGCTATGGCTGTCAGGTACAATGCGCAAAGAAGTCCTATCTGGTTATTGGTTAAGGTCAAATGGGCACTGTTGCGATTTTATCTGTTTAAAAGAAAGATTCCTTTCTAAAAGCAAGAATTCCTTAAATTCTGCGTCAAAGCATTTTTCGAAAAGTCTTCTTTATTCATAGACTAATGATTTTTCTTCCTCTAGGAGATGCAAGAAGGCTGATCTCAAGAGAATTGCCAAGGCGACCGGAGCCCAGTTCATCACCTCCCTCGCAAACGTGGAGGGCGAGGAGAGCTTTGAGGCCAGCTTCCTCGGGGAGGCCGCTGAGGTTTGCCAGGAGAGGATCTCCGACGACGAGTTGATCCTCGTGAAGGGAACCAAGGCTAGGTCTGCTAGTTCTATTATACTCCGTGGTCCTAATGATTTCTACTGTGACGAAATGGAAAGATCTGTTCATGACGCACTTTGCGTCGTTAAGGTACCATTTTATTATCTCCTTAGTAGAAGTAATAGCCATCTTTGGAAAATTCGTGTTTGGGGGATTTGAGAAAGAAAAAAAAACTAATCAGGAATACATTATTTGTATATAACTTTTCCCGTAATTCTAAAAAAAAATTATTTTTATCTTGGTTTTAGCGAGTGCTGGAGAGCAAGAGCGTAGTAGTTGGTGGAGGATGTGTTGAGGCTGCGCTATCTATCTATCTTGAGAACTTTGCGACCTCATTGTCCAGCAGGGAACAGCTCGCCATAGCAGACTTTGCCAAGTCTCTCCTCGTCATTCCAAAGGTAAAGCTTAAGATTATTGACTGATGAACATTCACGTTGGTGAAAATTCAAGGGACTGTCTGCTTAATTTCAAGGACAAAACTTGCCAGTCCAATTTTTTGTTTTGTTCCCTTTGAAAATTATCCCACGCACCCAAGGGTGTGGAAACTGTGGATTCTGAAGAATATCCCTTTTATATTTTTTGACGCAGTTGGTTGACATTTGGTGGGCATTGTTGGTCATTTGTTGACAAATGGACAGGAACTTATGATTTGTGATGCATTGATTAATTGATTGATTCATTGATTGATATTGCAGACCCTGGCTGTGAACGCTGCCAAGGATGCCTCTGATTTGGTTGCAAAGCTCAGGGCTTACCATAACTCCAGCCAGACAAAGAAGGTACTTTCCCAACACCGGGATTCATTTCAATCGGAAAATTAAGAAATTTTAAATTTTTTTAAAAATATATTTTGTTTTATTTTATTTAATTCATTCAGACATGAAATGTTAAACCACTAATCTTTCGTTACCAACTTGTCAAAAGTTTTGGAAACAAAAGAAGAAACTTACTTTTTTAACATTATACATTAAAACATTTCCCATTTTCAACCAAAAATTATTTTTTAATATAATGGATTTTTTGTCTTCATTTGTTAGAAGACCTGTTAAAATTACAATTGTATCGTATTGTACTGTTTAACTTATGGTCTAGATCTAGTGCTTAGCACGTTATTCCACTGTATTCCAAAATGTAGCTTGGCTCAAATTTGGTCGCGGTGCTGAGATCTTTTTATAGAATGTCACACCCTGAACTAAAACCTCATTCGTTCAGGAGAAATTGCATGTAGAGCGCGTAAAATTGAAATTCAAATGTAATTTTAAGATCAGGCTAAAATTCAGAAATTGGAAAGAATTAAAACTCTAACTCAAAAGAAAGACGCCTCGAGCAATCCCTGTAAAATATGCATATTAAGTATCCAAAAGTTTGAACCTCTAAATATCTAGGAGCATGCTGCCATGAAGAACTATGGCTTGGATCTGTATGAAGGTGTGGTCAGGGATAATAAGAAGGCCGGGGTTTTTGAGCCAGCTATCTCGAAGGTAAGAAATATCTATATATTTAATTTGTTAAATTTGACTGTTATGTGTATCACTTTGAAAACATGTTGATAAAATAATTATTGTAGGTAGTTCTTCAGACTTTTTTGCAAAAACTAGTGACAATAAATAGAGAAAATTGTAGATGGCGGCGTCTTTTTGCAGTGCCCCTTTTTGTTTAATGTAATGGACTGAGGCCGAATTTAAGGAATTTAAACCCCGTCACTGAACCATCAAAAACCGGTTCTAATTAAGCGCCGTATCAAATCTCGAAACATTGAAAACAATTTTAAGTGGAACCAACCATGTTTGAGCCGCTTCTCAACATTGACATGCGGCTCAAATTCTTTAAATTCGGCCTCTGGTAGTGAAAAATAAAATCACATGAAAAATAATGAAAATAATGAATTAATAATCGTATAAACGGTTTTTTTTCACTTCTACGGATTAATGGTTGATTTGTTTCTTTGTTTCTTCGTTTTCAATGAAAACTTGTTTGTAAGCCCAGAAAAATTTTAAAATATGATCACCTGAATTTTACAGTAACTAGTGTAAAAAAACAGACAGGCGTCTTATTTTTGGATTGAGACTTTTTTCTGAAATTTAACGGACTTCTAGTATTGAAAAAAAAATCACGTTAAAAATTTAAATTATTATTCTAGGTATTTTTTACGCCTGTGTCCGTGCCCAAAAAGGTTTAAAAGATATGTACATCTGATGTTTGCATTAAAAAGATGAGATAGCGTAGATCTATTTTTGCAATAATGTTAATGTTTTATATCACTTGTATTGGATACGCCTTTGTTTGATTGAAGTTGAAGTTTTAAATCTTAAATTGGAACATCTGGCCAGAATTCATCATACTTTTTATTTTTAATGGGGCCTGGAACTGTTTTCAGTTAGGAATCTGTTTTGAAGAAAAATCAACAGTTAATATGGTATTTTTGGCAGGGGGGGGGGGGAATGCACTTTCGTGGGACGATATAATAAAAAAGTGGTATTAATAAAAATAAATGATAGGGTAAAATGGGTTTTTAAAAAAAATTCTAGCGTCAAAATCTCAGCTTTCAAATAGTGTTATTTTGCGGAATCGTCGCTAAAAAAAATGGTTAAAAACCAGTTTTTAATGAACTTTTCTGTTTTAGGTGAAATCTCTGAAGTTTGCAACTGAAGCTGCGATCACTATTCTCCGTATTGATGATATGATTAAACTAGCTCCGGAGAGGGGAGAGGAGAGATCTTATCAACAAGCCCTAGCCTCCGGTCAGATGGGCTAAACCTATCAATACTCGCCACCAGTATCCGTACATGCAGTACATGCCTGTGCACTCACCCTCTGCTGTACATTGTACACATTATTAATGCTTTTGTAACAGTGAGAGAAATTTTTTATCCACTCCTGTGATTCGTGGAGCACTGTCGATCTATTCTCTTGTAACTAATAAAACACAGAAGAAGTCCAAACAATTCATTATTATGTTAAAAAAAAATTTTGTGTGCAAGTCTTAAACTTAAAAATGGCTGACATTAGTGTGCGGTCAGACTTTCAAGAATGAAAACATTTGGTTCATGTTTTTGACTTAACGTCACTGGCAAAAGTTGAGGTAAAGCCAACCTTCCCTCTTCTCTTTAGAAAAAACATTTATATCTCTGAATTGGGAAATCAATTGAAATTTGATTAATAACGAGTCAAATTTCTTATTTTTGAGTTTTAATTGATATTCTCTGTAGAGGCGACAACTTGGGTTCAATCATGTTGGGGTGATAATAATGTTTTCAAAAATCGTGAACCAAACCTTTATCGTAAGAGCAGACAAGTGCATTAAAGGTTTTAGTCTAGTTCTCAGGCGAGATGTTTATCTGAAGATTTAGACAAGTTTATCTCTTGATTAATCTTTGTTCCTTTAGACCTTACTTAACCTTACTCCTTGACCTTTATCAAGCAAATCTTCAGCTGGGAATTTTTCTATTAGATAACCTGACAACGAATTTTAGACCCGGCTCCAACTTGGTTGGTCCCACTTGAAATTATATTCAGTGTTTCTATATTTGAGCCGGCGCTCAATTGAAACCGGGTTTTGGCGGTTCAGTGTCTCGGTTTATATTCTTGAAAGGCTTGTTGTAAACCGGACCTGACACTCTTTAAATATATAAGAGGTTCAAGGAAATTACGTTTACTGATTCTCATGTGCAAATTTTCTGTTATTGCTGGAAATTATTTTGCTATTCACCTTTTTGGCAGGACTTCAATTATAAACGTGAAAGCCCACCCATGGTTATTATATACTGAACATATGACAGGCAACTCAAGTAAAACATAATTGTTTTAATTGTTGGAAAATATTTGATGTTAATTATGTTACATATTTAGACTCAGGAGCAAAACATTTGCAATTAATATCCCCCAAGTTCTCATGCTGTCTAGACGGTTATTAATAGGTACAAGAAGATGCAAAAAATTTGCATCCTGATGCAAAATTGCAAATTGTTGAATTGTATAGTTCAGATTGTACACATGAATAATTTTGGTTCTGGCATTTCTTCCTGTGTGCCAAAAAATGTCATGAGAAATGTTGAATCTTTTTTTGTTTCATTTTTTAATCTCATTGACAATTGGAGATTGATGAAATATATCAGGATAAGTCTAACTGCGTACAATAAGTTGACTGAACCGGCTCTACTGGAGAGCAGCAGTGGTTTAACTAAGTTTAGAACTATAGAGCGCGCCATATTTTTAGTAATATTAATTTTTTTTTCAGAAAATTTGACAATTGAGAGACAATCCTTTAAGCTTGAAGGTTATCTTTGATTTTGGAAAAAATTCCTTTCTTAATTTACTTTTACAATTATTTTTATAAAACTATTCACTAAATTCCCCTATGCAGTAGTTACAAACTGGCCTTTTTGTGCTCTCAATAATACTGGAGAAATGCCCCTTGTTCCTTGTCCATTGCCCCTTGTTCCTTGTCCCTTGTTCCTTGCCCTTGTTCCTTGACCTTTGTTCCTCGTCTTTCGCCCCTTGTTCCTTGTTCCTTGTCTTTTGTTCCTTGTCCCTTGCCTCTTGTTCCTTGTCCCTTGCCCCTTGTTCCTTGTCCTTTGTTCCTTGACCTTTGTTCCTTGTCCCTCGTTCCTTATTCCTTGTCCATTGCCCCTTTTTCCTTGTCCATTTCCCCTTGTTCCTTGTCCATTTCCCCTTGTCCCTTGTCCCTTGCCCCTTGTTCATTGTCCCCTGTTTCTTGTCTTTCGCCCCTTGTTTTAGAATGAAGATTCCTCTTGTTACTCGTCTAACTGGTCACTTCGGTCACTTTATGTCACCATAAATCCTCAGGATAATATACACTTCATGGATTTAGTAATACGGACCGCTTACTTTAGAATAAAACCGTTTCCTGAGACATAGTATCTGGAATCTCTTGAGACCCAGTATCTGAAATTTCTTGAGACCCAGTATCTAGAATTTCTTGAGACCCAGTATCTAGAATTTCTTAAAACCCAGTATCTGGAATTTCTACAGATCCAGTATCTGAAAATCCTTGAGACCTAGTGCCTGGAATTTCTTGAGACCCAGTATCTGGAATTTATTGAGACCCAGTATCTGGAATTTATCGAGACCCAGGATCCGGAATTTATTGAGACACAGTATCTAGGAATTTCTTGAGGCCCATTATATTGAATTTCTCAGGATCAATGGGTTAGGTTAGTGTACGCAACACACGTGCAGTGTTTCTTGTTCAGTGGACCATTTACGATCATAACTTGAGTCTAAAAAAATACTACCCTTTGAAAAAGCAACTGAACAGACCTTTCTCTGAAAAAGGTACTTCAGAGGAAAATTATTTACGTCATTGCACAATTGTAAGTATTCGATATTTAGTCCCTGGATTCCTATGTCCTCGATGTCTGTAGTCTGCACCCATGGGCCATGGACCTGTAAGCAAACAATCAGACTGCATTAATGCAATAGATGACTACAGAGCCAGAGAATAAACATTCTTGTAGATAATATATCTTTTTTAAATATTTCACTTTATATACAGTGGTAGGCGATTATAAAAATATAATAAAAACGACTTTCGATTTCAATTTTGATTTATATCGAGTTTTTAAACAGCATGGATACACAAAAATATGGAAACAAGGAGAAGATGTCAATTATAAAGGGTTATTTTTAATCGCTTATAAACTTGTAATTCGGAAAAAAGCTTGTTAACTATTAAAAAAGTCGTCTTCATTATATTGATATAATCGCTTACATCATTCTTTCCTTTTAGATATTTCAATAAATCCTATTCTGCTTTACTTTACATATCTTTACTTTACATATCTTTACTTTACATATCTTTACTTTACATATCTTTACTTTACATATCTTTACTTTACTTACTTTACATATCTTTACTTTTTACTTTGTTATGATGTTTATCTGTTTGTTTGTATCCAATAAACGCCAAAACGGCTGAACCAATCGGGCCTAAATTTTGTGTGGGATCTCACATGACCCCGGGGAGGATTTATGGATGATCAAAATTTAAAAAAATAGCCTTCTACAAAATTCGATTTTCATTAAATTTTTTTAAAATCTAGATATTTATTTACGTATCATGGTTATTATGGTTTACAAGATTAATTGTACAAAAATACCAACATGTATTAAACAATTGTAATACGATAATAATGTGTACATATATTTAAATTAGATAAATTATACTGATACATTTTATCATTTTCATTTTTTCCATTAAATTGGAATTTCGGATTTGTCCTGCAAGACACACAAAATGAGGGATGTAGAGAATAAATTGCTTGTATTTAGTCTTTGACTAGGATTTATTTTTTTTAAAATTCATCTGCATAATATTGGAGCATTTAATGAGAAAAATCTGATGGGCATGCATTAAAAAGTTTTTATGTAACGATGTAATGGAAATGTAACAAAGTACAAATGGGAAACAGACTACGATTGTACTGACGGTGAACATTGAAAGTTCGTCGCCAGTCTTACACTAGTTGAACTATTTCGTCTTGATGCTAAATAGCAGACGTAATTATGTAAAACAATATATTTGGGATACATACAGGCGAGGAACATTGATGGTTCCTTCCTGCATGTTCTTTTCTTTATGTAGTTAATAATCTACACGGCCTACGTGGCTATAGCAGGCACCAAAATTTGGAAGTGTTAAATTTGAAAAAGCTTGTTGTAGAAACGTCTAATTTCAAATTAAAATCATGTAGAACATTGGTTCTACGTTACTGACTAAAACATTGGAAAGAGATTCATTTCTCTTAAATAATCAAGGTATAGCCAAATGATGCACAGTTATATTGTGCAGGGGTTTAGAGGTATTGATGTAGCGTATTTGTCTCGTCTTCTTGAGACATCATGATTTCCAGGCGATGAGGTTTGACGGTTCAGGAGACGTTTCTGCTTCCACAGACTGAATCAGTAAAAAAAAGAGCATTAGTTTATTGTGAAAGAAGATTCAAGGCTTGGGAGAAGATTTTCATTAAATTTTAAAAACCACATTTTTTGGTTTTTAATCCCCGAACTTTTGCTTGTTTTTGTTTTACAATGTGTACAAAGAGAAAATGTTCACAATTGAAATAGAAGAAGTGCGCGAAGCGCGCTGAAAGCCTAGTATATTAGTATTTCTCTATTTACTTAACATGCATTTAATAATCACTCTTTTTAACCAATTAATAAGAGAAAAGAAGAATAATATGATTGTCTATTTTGAAAATATCAAAATAAGGGGGTGCTTTGGGGCCCATAGATCATATCCCCACTTCCCTTTACTTGAGATACTAAATGTTTTCCATGTTCCCCTCCTTTTAAAGGTAAAAATAGACTACTAAATTGTCTTTTTGAAAATTATAGGACAATGTGTTATAAACCGAATTGCTATTCATGTAAAACTAATTAGATATGTTTTAATATGCTTAGGTTCCCAAAAGTCTACTATTACATAACAATTCCTTCGCTTTTCAACGGAAATAAAGATTTTAAAATTTTAAAATTTCGGTTTTAGAGATTTGAGCCCGTTGGGGATTTCAAATCTGTCCCCGATCAAATTTCATTTAGGAATAAATGTCACATTATGCTGCACAACTGAAATAGAGTACGATGATGGGGAGAAGGAGGAGGAGGAGGAAAGTAGAAGGTGTGAGAATTAGTTTTTGATGATTCTTGATTTCTTTTTCGAACATATCCCTATTTTGAAAAAATTACCAGATTTAGAATGGGAGAAAGATGGAGATTTAAGAGGTGGAGGAGAGAGGAGCTAGAGTACGATGAAGGGGAGAAGGAGGAGGAGGAGGAAAGTAGAAAGAAATGGAAGTGAAAGGAAGGTAATAAGGGAGGGAGGGGAGGGACGCAGGGAAGGGAGATGGAGTGGAGGGAAGGGAGATGGCGAGAGAAGAAAGGAGATAAGGATTTAAACTCATCCACAATGTCTTGTTATAAA